CGAGTCCCGCGGCCCCCGCGGTGCCCGGCGCGGGGCTGAGCCCGGCCCGTCTGCCCCGCAACGGGGGGCACCGGGGCAGGAAACCCGGGGGGTTCGACTCGCCCCCAGCCCGGGGCCCCCACGTTACCTACAGAGGACACTCCTCGGGGAAACTGACATCGCAGAAGAGCCGGGACGAGCGCTTACCCGTCCGGGCCGTGAAAGGAACAGATTTCAGAGCTGAGAAGAGCAATCCAGAGACAGCGAGGAGGAGGAGGAGGAGGAAGGAGAAGGGGCAGGAGGATGAGGAGGAAGGAGGGGAAGGAGGAAGGAGCAGGAAGAATCAGAAGAGGAGGAAGAGCCATGAGACAGGGCAGAGTGCTCAGCAGTTTGGCAGCATGGGAAGGGCAGGTGCTACAGGTGGGTTTGGTCCCCATGACGGGGCTCAGTGCCCTCTGGCTCCAGGCTGTCACAGCCCCCCAGGGCTCCCCCATCACCAGGGGTCTCCCCGCTGTCCCCAGGCACTGTCTCTTCTCACCTGAACTGATCTCTCACCTGAAATAATGTCCTCGATGGCCCCGTCTTTCCCTTCGTAGATCAGCGGCTCCTTCACCATCTGCTTCTTCTTCAGCTCAGCAATCATGTCCATCTGCTGCCTCTTGGCCCGCTGGGTGGGCAGCTGGGGGTGGGGACAGCATGGGGTGAATGGCCTGACCCCCCAAAACACCCCTGAGGTGCCCCCACCTCCACCCCACACCCAGTTCTGCCCCCCACCAGGACCTGCTTCGCCCTCCCCCACAACCTGCCCAGGACAGAGGGACTCGTGGGCACCTTCACCTCGGGCTGCTCCTCGCTGCCAGGGGGGCTGGATTCTGCCTCTTTGGCTGCAGCCTCTTGTTTCTTCCACAGCTCGATGTCCTGCTCTGCTTTCTTGGGAGGGGCACAAGGAGGGTGTGCTGAGCTGGGGGGGGTTCCTGCCATGGGACCACAGCCCCCCCTTCCTCCTCTCAGCAGCCCCCAACCCAGCTCCAGCATCTCCCGCCTCCCCAGAAGGCAGCACCCAGCCCCA